TTGATTTGGCCGATTCTCCGATCCAATCCACGAATCTGACATGGGTATGGGTGTGAATGATTCGGGTCATCGATATGCTTTTTTAAACACTTCATATCTAATGGTTAAAATGTGGCCGCATCGGGGGCTATGCGCTACCCAGCACATCGCACACGCCCGCATATGCGGTTTGGAGAGATGGACCTACATATGTGCCGCATTAAAGTCGCATCCCGCATTGAGCACATTAGGGCGAATAATCTGTCCGACTTTTTTTTTCAAAACTGAACCATTGGGCATTAAAGCACATTGGGCAGGGGTAATAAGTTCACTTTGACATTCGAAAATGGGGGAAAGGGTTTGGGGGCCCTATTTTGTTATATTTTGTTTATAATTTTTTTATATTTATTGATCGCATCATGGGGATGCACCCTCATTCGAACTGCATCAAACTGCATCGGCTCTCAAACGCTTTTGGCCTCATCGCGCATTTTAAAACACTACTTAAAAGTGATTGTGACCTCCTTGTACCAAAAATAAATGGTCTTGCATCAGGTGGCAATTGTTGAAATTTGGCCTTCAACCATGAGTGTTTGATGACTGTCAAGTTACCTCTAGTAGGGACTTCACCCAATTGGTTTCTATAAACTCTCGGATGTTACTGATTGGATGACAGATAACAGACTCGCCATTCATAACCAAACCCATTATCTCATAAGCATAAAAAAAATGTAGTGTTATCTTACCAATTTCATCATTGTAATGAAAATAATTCGTCTCAGAACGCCACCTCTCTGCATTGGATGTGACCAAGGGAAGGTTTATTCAACCTGGCTGGATAATAGATTGAGCACCCAATCTGAAAGCATTCACTAGTTGAACTTGCTCATTCGTTAGATGTCAATCGTTTAATTGATGTTTTTCTCATCGACTATATTTTCTGATTTTTCTTGAAATACAACAAATAAACAACATATGAGTAACAATACATATATATATACTTCCTGTTGAAAGAAAGACCTATGTGATCTTTTACCGAGGAATACATTTTTTTTCTTCACTCCTTTATTTTGTCAAAAAAAATCACTTACATGTGGTCTTTATTATAATAAGATAAATTTCAAAATAAAATCATCATAACAATAAAACCAAGATCTTAACAACTTGATGTCATTGAAACAACTATGCACTGTGCTTGAGAATAAAAGATAAGATTGCAATAAACAAAATGAAGAGTGCCAAAGATTATCTCAACCGGGCTTATTACATCCCACACCGAGTTACCACCATTCGATGACCCGAGATCAACGGTCTAGCTTCAATCTTAAACCGGGAAAGTAAATTTCGGCCAAGCCACACCAATGGAACATGAACCCCTTTGATCACAAACTCAAACCCTAGGTGAATTCTCTTAGCAACATAGTTTGAGAGAGATGGATTCTCTTTTTGCTAAACCCTAAAACCTTTAGCCATAAATCCATCTTTGAGAGATAGGAGAGAAGAACTCCACAACATAAACCCTTAGGTTATTTCACCATGTGGGAGAGATAGATTAAACATGAGAGAGATAAACTTTCTTAAGAGAGAGATAAAAAGATAATGTGTAGAGATTTTGTGGTAGAGACAATTCATTTTTATAGGCTTTGAATAAGATTAGGGTTTCTTAGGGTTTTCTTTGGCTTGCCTCTTCTTGTGAGATTTAACATAGACTGTCGATCAATGGTGAATTATGGGGTGAGAGATATGAGCCATCCATTTCATAGATGGGCCATCAACATTTATGGAAGGTGCATGAACCATTATGCCCCTTTCCTAAACCATTTTCTCATCAATAGAAATTAAATAAATTAAATATAAACAAAATATTGTGCATATCATAAAATAACAGTAGTCTACTCAATCTTTCTACATAATCTTTCAAAGATATATCAAGTCAATATTTAGTAATATTTAGTCAATATCTTCCAACCATATGGCCACATGCTATATCATCAAAAATAGGAAAGATAATAAGGGTGGGGCGTGCCACCCAAGGGAGGTACTCATGGGTCCCACCTTTTAAAAATATGGCGAGCCCATGTGCACAATGGGCCCCCATGATATTTTTACATATTTAAAATTAATAAAAATATTTTAGAATATTATTTGAATATTTAAACAATTATAAAATCAATATATTTAATTTTTTAAATCGAAAAATTATAAATAAAATATCCAGGGGTTCATAAAAATTCAAATAATAATATTAAAATAATTTCCATCCTAAAACAAACACAATTAAATTAATTTGATGGGAAAATGATCCATATGGTTTAGGAATCAACAATCATGGGGCACTTCACCTTCAACTATGGGCTACGAACAACACTTGCTTTATTATATCGACTCAGTGTTTCTCATGACCCAAAGTCCAAGCAGGGGCTCATTAGCGGGTCACCAAAGTCCGGCCGATGAACCAAGGGATCGCAATTCGAGCCTGTGGATTTCAGGTCCTCCCCTAGAGACAATTCAAGGTCACCAATACCTTATGCGACCACAACTCCTATGGTGCATAAGGATATCTCTCGCACATGCATACGCTTTACCCTAAAAGGTGGATTTATGGTTTTCCCGAACGATCTATCGATATGCATGCCGTGTAATGGTACATGGATGAGGCTTTGGGCCCCCGTCTCTGTAGGGCACCATCACTCACAAGGGTCACACAGTCCCTCGGTTCACTCATCCGGGCATATTCTCCGACTTCATTAAGGGCTAACCCATTAGAACCTTTCTCGGTTTGTTCTTTATGCTTAGATAACATGGGTTTTTCCCAACCGACTGCCTAGATCGTCAAGCACGGTTCGGTATATGCAAACATCGTTTGCTTAGTATGGCCCACGAGGGACCACACTCCCATTGAGTTCATGTTCCACTATATCATTTCATTTTACAAGCACTCATAAGGCCTATAAAGGCCACATGAATCCAACACCTGTATGATGTTCAAACAGACTACAATTTATTAAAAAAATAGCAAACTAATGGAAATAGCAGATGAATATGAATATACCTATCCTTCTCAAATATAATATAATGAATGTTCTAAATGCAACTGTAGCAAACTAGGATCCTCAGGACCTCTAGGGTATCCCCCATCTGAATGGACACAATTCTTAATCACTAAAACCCCAAGCATTTGCAAAATGTTCAATACATGCAACATAATTTAGATATAAATCTCCATTTTTAAGCTACTCAATCTATCAAAAAAAAAAATCAGCTATTTCCTAAGATAACACTATATCTATCATGAATATGTACTTCAAACTACATATGAGTATACTTAAAACTACATATGAGTATCAAAGTTAACACTAAAAATTAAGATATGAATTTAGTTTTTTTTTTTTTTTTCATAAGGATTAATCTTTATACAACACAAGAAATACTAGCATTGTCCATATCGACTAATGTTTGGAATTTTTCCTAATGAGGGCCAAATTTGATTAAAGCTTGTCACAATTGAATTAAGTTCAAAATTGACTCTAATTCTACAATTTTGTAATCTAGCCTAAACCGTTGAAAATTCTCAAGGACCAAGCATTGCAAAAGATCACTGATATTTGAAACTTTTAACTTTTAGTCCTTATACAACACATTTTTTGAGGAATCTAAATGTTAGACATTAATACTAAGTTCCTACAGGAAAGAAGAAAAGAATGACAAGAAGAAGGGAAACTTCAAATTCATAACTTTATATCAAACTCAACAACTAATCTCTCTATAAAACTAACATGATTCATAAATAATTTGAACAAAAAATGTCATTTTATGAATCCACATAATTTTATAGTTCCAAAGACACTAAAATTTGCATCAAAGCAAAAGTAACTCAATAACTCATGTATAAAATTCAAGTTCTAAAAAAAAACCCAAATTTACAGTTCTTAAAAACCCAAAAAGTTTACACTTATTAAAAATCCCAAATATCACTCAAACATATTGTCATACTCATACTTATAGAACTGTGAAATCCGTCGAATATACCCTAAATCGACCTCTTACACTAAAGTGTGAAACCTTAAATCATAATATTATACAATCTAAATTTCCAAAATCGAACAATAGATCATTATATACATACCTTCACTACAGATTTAAAATCGGTCAAATGCCTTCAAAATCCGTCAAATGCAATTGAAATCTATAAAAGACCTTCACTTCAAATGTAAACAAATCTATAGAATGTGTTTTCTTATGAGAGAGGTGAGAGAGAAAAAATTGCAGAGACAAGAGAGAAGCGTCAAAGTTGAACAAGAGAGAGACAAAAGCAGGTTTCGTAAGCTTTAAACGAGCCAATTGATTTTCGGTTTTTGAAAAACCAAAATTCGTTTGTTTTTTATTTTTGAAAAATTGAAAAAAGGTAAAAATGTATTCTTTAAATATTTTGTTATGAAGTGAAAAAAACGGATATGCCATTAATAACGGAAAGAACTTGGTATTTTGGTAATAACGGAAATTAAAACGGATATTTACCTAATTTTTCCTCTTTTTTTATCATTTTGGCAAAGATTGGAAAGTGTTTTGGCCATGAATACTTATTTTTATATTTTTTCATCTTTTTAAAGTTTTTTTAAAAATGCTCCTAGGCACAAATCTATTTTTTAAATATCTTTTTTAAAATTAATTTTCAATTTTATTTGGACGTGGTTTGTTTAATCATACTTTAAATATATTTTTTATATTTTTAAATTTTTTATTTTTTCAATAATTTTTTAATCAACGAGGACTTGTCCGGTTCGATTTTTCGAACACTAATATAAACAAATCACAACTCATATTGTAGAGAGAGAAAAGAAAAAAAAAAAGGGACAATGATGGGTCCATAGAAGAGCTGGGAGTGGGTGCAATAAGTAGGGCCTAGCCCATAACATCATTCCATTTCCTCAAATTAAGAAAAGAAATAAAAAAAGCCCACCCCCTTGAAGAAAAACATAACCAACACACAAAAAGAAATCTAGAGAGAGAGAATAGTGGGGGAGATTGTGAGGGCCTATGCCTGTACCGTCCTTTCCATTCCCGAATTCAAAACCAAAGACGAGCCCACCCCCATTAAAGAAAAAAAAAAAAGTCTAGAGAGAGAAAGTAGAGAGAGAGTGACAGACTGGTGAGAGAGAGATTTACTCCCCTCCCCTTGGGACTAAGGCGAAAGAAAGTGGTCTTCCGCACCCGCAGTCTATATCCGGCGGCTTTTCCCATTCGTTTCCTCGTCAACACCACCACCACCACCACCACCACCACCACCGCCTTTTGCCGGCCATTTCATTGCCGGGAAGTGAATTTTGCAGTCCCTTCGCCGGAAATTGCGCGTCTGTTCCATGAGATGGCGCCCTTCTTCCTTCGGATCTGAAGAAAGTGGGCACGATTTGCTGGGTTCTGGCGTCAAACTATTGCCTCTCTCTCTCTCTTCTTCTGAAACTACTTATCTTTGCGTTTGATCTATCGTTCTTCTTGGATCTGAGGAGGCATGGCTCTCTCTGGAATGAGGGGCTTATCTGTTTTCATCAGTGATGTTCGAAATTGCCAGAACAAGGAGCAGGAGAGGCAGAGGGTTGATAAGGAGCTCGGAAACATCAGGACCCGCTTCAAGAACGAGAAGGTTGGGGTTTTATTTCTCACTCCTCTTTTTCAGACTTTGAAGCACCTGCTTGTTTCTTATGGACTCGAATTTATTTGATGCATTCTATGAGCATTTGAATCTCCCGTGTTAAATGAGTACTGAGCACATGACTGCCAGATTATATAGAGGCGAGTGAAATTCATAGGAATCAAGTTATCTGCTTGCTATTTATTATTTGGTCTGGTTTTGGAAATGGGGAATTTGGTCTCGTTTGTGTAGTCAGATTTATTTGATGCATTCAATTCGTATTTGAATCTTCCATGTTTAATGAATAATGAGCGCAGGATTGCGAGGGTTATATAGACACCAGTGAAATTCGTAGGAATTGAGTTCTGTCGCTGCTACTCAAAATTTGGTTTTGATTATGGAATGGAAATGAGTGATTTTTGCTGTGTTAAAGATAGGTTCCGTTTCAGAAATTTGCCATTTTTATCTGGATTATGACGTATTCACAAATCAAATGGCCTGTTATGGTATTACTCAAGGGGTTGCCCGTTCCCATGTAGGAATACTTTCTCTGACATGCGTTTTTATCGAGAGTAGATGCTTCAATGAAATTATTACGATATGAAATAGGATCAACCTTGTACTAGATGCACACCTTGTACTAGATACAGTCCTTGGTTTTGCCATTGAAGAATGTGAAATAGTTTTTAAAGGAAGTAGTTTCACAAAGCCTTTGAGCTCTAAGCCCATTACCATGTAGCTACTTGACCACTTTCTTGAAAATTTTCACCGTGTCTGCAAAATAACAAGGGCTATCTACATTTGGTCCTTAGTTGTATGGAAAAACTATAATTTTTCTTATCCTTTTTTGCGATAGAGTGGTGCACACCTCAAGTGTACAATCCTGATTCCCGAGTTTCCTATACGTGTAGGTGGCTCAAAGTGCGCCTCAATCAAGGCATATCCCTTGAGGAGCTGTATTCCTCGAGGTTAGGTCGCAATGGGCCAGGCCTCGGCTGGGCTATCTCTGGCCCTATCAGGGCCAGGTCTGGCCTGGGCGGGTAAAACTAAAGAAAAACAACACAAAAAAGATAAAGAAATAAGGCCTGGTTTGTCTTGGTCTGGCCTGGGCCGACCTCCCAGCCCTCACGCCACTTTTTGTGGCCGAGGCCCTAGTTTTTTAGGACTGGGCCACCCAGCCTATTGCCAAGTGCCTTTTGACTATGCGGTTGCATCCCTGTTGCCAGGTTTAGCTTGAGTTGCTATCGTGCGAGACTAGCTACTATTATGCGAAGCCACCTTGCAATAGGCTCAGCCTTGAAACATTTTTTTAATTTAGTTTTAATTCGACAGAGACCCTGAAATGCTGAGCTCAAGGAAGGAGTTGTGTTGATAACGTGTCAGAGATTGCACGCTGCATCGATGAATTGCCGAATGTGGTCTTCGAACTGCCATAGAGTGTCTGCTGGTTCCCAACTAGCCGCGCTCTTTGGTAGTCCTTTCCACTTCACCAAATATTCCTTGTACGCGGTTGATGAAGAGGCATAAGAGCCTCGGGGGCCTTGCAGCTCCTGAATGCTTTGCTATAAAGGGGGAATCCGTAGAGGAGAAGCCAAAAAACTGCTTATTCAATATTAGTATAGATTCTTTGTTTGAATCTCAACTTTTTATGCACCGTCTAGTCAGAACTAGAGTTTGAACATTGATTTGTTAAAAAAAGAAGAAGAAGAAGAAGAAGAAGAAGGAGAAGAAGAAGAAGAAGAAGAAGAAGAAGAAGAAGAACTATAGTTTGATGTTTGAACTGCTGATCTAGAATATGAGAAGCCATATTTATGTAGTGAGAACTTTGTAACTATTTACAAGTATTTCATTCTTGACGTAGTACCGAAACATAAAAGGTTTAATGTTAATGTTGTGGTCGAAGCAATAATCCGTGGATTCAGCATCAGTATGAGTTCCCTTGGCTCAAATTGAAACAATTTAAGTATTTACTAGCCGATCACAGCTTGATCTGTATATTGTGAAAAAAATAATCCAAACTTTGGACTGTTGTGCCTTTTGAAGCTACACATGATTATTGTAATAATTTCATTCTGATTATCATTCTTGAAATGATCATCAGCATTGTGGTTCCTATCATTGTAATCCTTTAAGTGATGAGTTATAGCACAATGTTTTGATGAGAAGCATGCTCTGACAGGGTTTGACACCTTACGAGAAGAAGAAATATGTATGGAAAATGCTGTACATTTACATGCTTGGTTATGATGTGGACTTCGGTCATATGGAAGCTGTTTCTTTGATATCGGCACCAAAGTATCCAGAAAAACAGGTGATATGCTCCAACCAGTGTTGCGTCATGCATATTTTTAGGCCTTTTGTCTATTTTTTATTCATTGCGTTGTTTCTATTTATATAATACTCATTAACGCATATATGTTCCCGAAACAACTGGCAGTTGAAATTGTATGGCAGTTAAGTTCTCCATTGTATCAAACAAATCATGTTGCCATGATTAGCGGACTGAGACTCTAATGCTTGAGCATGTGATAACTTGGATGATACCTGTCACTAACTGAAGTATGTTGTGTAATCTGGATATTACCTATATAAATGAACTTCACATCAGATGTAGGACCACAATAGGTAGATTACCAATGACTGCATCAGCGTTCAGACTGCCAAGTTTGGCATGGCTTGGTCTGTAGTATTAGTACTGGACGAGGTGTGTACCTTGGCACACCTCAACGATAGGCAATTTGGACCCCCAAAAGTGTGACGCGCATGAGGTATGATGTATGAAATTCATTAGGCCCTTGGTAAACTCTTAATTCTGCACTTGAATTTTGAAGGATTAGGAAAAAATTCTAAACATTGTTTCAGCTTTGATTTTTGAAATCTTTGTGATTACTCAATTAGTTTCAGTTCCGAAACTCTGACGATCTTTCTATTGACAAAGGGATGATGCTTGACCTGGGTGGATGGTTAACTAGTGTCAAAGTCAACAGATGCTTCGTGAGTCATTAAATTGTTGGGCTTGACACTTCTCTTTTTCTTTTTCTTTTCTTTTTTGAAGGCATGGGGGTCGTGGTGGTGGTGGTGGGGTGAGGTGTGATAACTGAGGAAGATTCTGGTGTCAGGAGTGGATGGTCAACAGAGTAAGACAGGGGTCAATGTGAAGGGGATTATAGTCCTAAGAAACTAGATGGCTCTGTGCATGCAGCAGTATTATTATGATTTTATTTGTTTTGTGTTTGGCTTTGCCCTGTGTTGCCTCAGGATGGATTGGCCTTCCACTACTTTTCAGGTGTATAACAAGATGGTGGGATAACCCTATATTTAGTTGTTTTCCTCAGTAGAATGGGTTGCTTAGGTGCGTTGCACTTAAGAATCAAGTAACATTGGGTACTTGTAGTCTAGTGTGATTCTTTCCCATTATAAGAAAGGAACGGGTTGATGGGAATCTTGAATATCCACTTACGATTATATCTAAATCATTAGAAGAAAAGCAGAATATCCTTATATCTAGACATTAGCCTTCTTAAAGGTCTTGGATTTGCTTGCCTTATGTACAGGAGAGGTGAATTAGGATGTTAAGTGCTGAGGAAGACCTAGAAGGGTTAGAGTTCATGAGGCAGAGTACTTTTGGCAGAGTCTCCTTGTAACAAAGACAAGTTGTGGTTGTCAAATCTAATGACATTGAGCAAAAAGAGAGGATGGGGACAGTATAGAGATCTTGCTCCCATTGTTCCCGTTATTAACAAAGTATTTAACTATAATTGAAAGATGTGAGACAGATCTGATCTGATTAAAGGGGGGAGATTGTGCTAACATGCTAACAGCGACATCCACCGCGATGTATGCATAGTTTGAGGTCTCGAGGCTCGGACTGGGGATTCACAAGAATCATGTAAGGTGTAGACTTGGAAAGTTCTTGTAGAGAGGTCTACATGTCTCGACTGAGCCCCCTATAGCACATGCCGAAGCTTTAAAGACTTGCCAAGTCAGTATAGTTTTCTTGGGTTTGTGCCTGCCAAAACCGAAAACTCTTTTTCTTGGTTTCCAAGCTTGTCTAGACCTATCTTTCTACCATGGGGGGTTCCTAGCCATTTCCTCACTCCCTCTAAAACCCTAATTTTAGGTTTACTATAGTGTTTCCTTACTTTTTATAGTTTTGTTATTAAGTCTGTTTATTATCTGAAAGTGTTGAACAAGAGTCACTATGTCTGTGCAAGTGCCCAGGTTTAGTGATATTTCATAGTAATATTTCCAAAATAAGAGGAGACATCATGGTTGTTTTCCTGGTGATAAAAGTGCTTGTCATATGCATTAAAAAGAACTAATTGTCTATAGAGGCAGTGAACAGAACACTATATACTTTACTTTCTAACTACACACTCAGTTTCAGAGAGTGCAGTTGTTGTTAGAAGAAACTTAAAACCAATACGCTACATAAGAGTGGGAAGAAAGTATACGAATTCTGGAATTTCTTTAAAATGTATGGCATATTCATGGCAATATGGAAGTTGGCAGACTCTGTCCTGCCACCCCTTTTGAAGATCCTAGCTTTCTAGTTTATGCTGTTCCCATGCTCTCAAATACAATGACGATAGCGGAGTTCATGCTTCATTTTCTCTCTATTGTGTTACTTTAAGTTAGAGTGGGTGGAATCTCACCCAGTTTCCATAACCTGGTTTCGTATCATTTTGATTGTTGTCAACCTAGGACAATATACCTCTTTATCGTGAGAAAAATGTGGTTTGTTCACATGTTATTTATCCAATTTATTGTAGTTTCAGTTGAGCAAGCCACCAGGCACTAAGAATACTTGAATCTGTATCGACAACTTGAAAGAATGCTTATCTTGATAAATCTTTTATCTAATTATGCCTGGATGGGCATCTGCAGGTGGGATACATAGTCACATCATGTTTACTGAATGAGAATCATGACTTCTTAAGATTGGTCATAAACACCGTTCGCAATGATATAATTGGGCGCAATGAGACTTTTCAGTGCCTGGCACTTACAATGGTTCGTAATTCCAATTGTTCTGAAGGCTATTATTTTCTTAACTCTTGTTGCATCTTCATCTTAATATTTTGTGAACATCTGTCGTGTCTAGCTCATAAATTTATCTGAATGTTGCATCTAGCTCATGTGGTCAATGCAATGGTCCTTGTTTAATCTAGCTAGTGGGCCAAGTTGAATGTTTTGTGGTCATGCTTTCTTAAAAACATTAACTCCGTTATGTATTTTTTTATGCCTTAGTGGTGTGAAGGAGAAATCTTGCATGACTGATACAAAAATAGTCTGGAAGCTAGTGTTCACTTTCTGCATGCATGCAGGCTCATGATGTAGATCATTACTGGGGAGAGCAAGTCCAGCGAGTAAACAATGGAGGAACACAAGTATCCCAGCAACAAAAGAGAGCTAGTGCTCTAGAATTTGCTTTAACAAAATGATTATGATAGATCGAACATTTGTTCTTACCCTCGTACTCTCAACTAAACACCCAAAGCAAAATATAAACCATCTTCGATACAGGCGAAGTACCTTCGCCATTTTCACGGAGCCCGGCTGTTCGCCGAAAGCCAATAGATCGTCGGTAGGGAACCTTCATAGCGTTCCTTAGACCGGGTTCGCCCATTTTTTGGTAAAGACGACTTTGTTTGAAGTCTATGGCCTCCTTTATTCAGTCAAGCTAAAGAGAACTGGACCAACAGAGCCTGAACAGCGCTTGTGAATAGCAGCCCGATGGAAGGAAGGAATAACAAGGTTCAATGAACCTAGACTTTCCTGACCGCTGAACTGATTTGACTATTTGGCCTTCATTACTTAATACATATATTAAACTGGTATCACAGGAAAAAAGGAATGCAAAGTCCTTAAATCTGAAGTTTCCAGAACATTGAAACCCACAAAGCCTTGGCTAAAGTCTAAAGACATCCAAAACTTGTTTAGAAAGAAAATTCAGAAACTTCCATGTTACCAAAGGCCATGTGTTAGCCTCTGGTTCGTCCCCCTTTTTTCTTTCTTTTGACACTTGCTTTGAACCTGGTCTGATTTCATCCGCTTGTGCTTTGTGGTTAAAATGAAGAGTTCATTCATTTTTCTTTGCCAATATATTTTTTTTGGTTTTCTATGAATAGAGACTGCAGCAAGTTGAGGTATTTAG